CAAAAAGCGACGAATTAAATTTATAATATATAATTAAACATATAATTTACAGAAAAAATTATGCATATGAAAGACAGTGAAAAATGTCTCCGAAGACGGACGTTTCAGTCCTTCAAAGTCACATGCTTTTTTTTTTTTCAAAATAAGATTAGTGAATAATAAGTAAATATGTTTAAATAAATAAGGGTAAGTATAAGTAAGTACGTTTAAGCAAGCATTTAGGTAAACGAGAGTAAATATATTTAAATATAAAAGATGCATTCGAGTAAGTAAAAGTAGATATATTTAAGTAAATACGCCCGTGTTTGTTAAAAGTCTACTCAAGTAGATACTTTTTGGCTTTTAATATGAAAATGAACTAGCGAACATGGTGCTGTCGTAAGTAGCACTATCTTGTGCACAAAACTGAGAGATCGACTCCGCCGCAGAACAATCAGCCCTCTTACCATTCGTCTGTTCGTTTCGATGGTAAATTGGTATTGACACTTGGCCAGGGGTGAAATTCATTATCAGCTTGACTGTCAAGTAAGCCACGAAAGAGGGAGCTGTTGACAACCTTCCTAGCAGATGGTTGCTGTTAGCACTAGCTATCACTAAGATAACTTTTTGAATGTGTTCGCTACTTACAGAGGGTGAATTTAATTGTAAATTAAGCGAATCTTAACTGTGCACATCTTAATTCGACTGCAGAACTGGATCTCGACAATACAGCTGAACTAATAAATATATACTAGTACATCGTGGCGTTTTCTGGCCCCAGTTTTTGCCCTCGTATTTAACATTTTAAGTTGTATTTTAAGTTGTGGTTTATTCGGATTTCTAAAAGTTTATGTGAGGGAAAGAGGCGCATTGTAATTGACTACGCTATGTGGATTTGTAACTGACGATCACAGAAATTTAAAGATGACCATTTCAGGAAAGAAGAACCCGAAGAGGTCAAGAAACCAAAATCAAAACAAGAAGAGGTTAGTTATTTCTAACCTTGGCAAAAACTGTAGAGCTCGAAAGCCTGTTTGTTGAAACCACAAGTAATATTCATTTAAGCCTTACCAGAAATCCCGTACGTGAAGCAGTCGAGAGCACTAAGGGGGATCATACGCAGAGGAATTTATGTGAGGCTTTTGTTATCCTCAAAAAAAAAATATACATACAGTGGTATCAACTAAGCAGAGGGCCTCTAAGCTGTCTTTTCTCTTCCTTTCAGGGTTGGTACACAACATGTATCAATTGTCAACAAAACGGTAGTGAAACATCTCGTTTTCTCTCTCTTATTACGATGAGCCAAGGTAAAACGAAGTAGCCCGAGTGGTACTGGTGGCCGTCAGCTCGTAAGGTGTCCACTGCTTCCATTTTGAGGCTTTTGGGGACGAGCTGATGGCTAGTTTAACTCCCAGACATATGCTAATACTAATTTACCATCGAAACGAATGAAAAAATCGTAGAAGGCTTAGTTGTCGAGAACAAACCTCAAAATTCGAGAACAGGCCTCAGAGTTTCACAATAAAAAGGAGACTTGCACTAATTGCCGTTTAGGTAAAAGACCAACTACCAAAGTCATTCATTGTGGAATTCACTCAAAAAAGTAGTTCGACGAATGCGAATCGATCAAGACACACTCAGCCCGAG